ATGGAATGGGCTCCAGTCCAAGATAGCCTAGGCCCTATGCCATAATATATGTATTATTCTAAGATGTTACAGGATAGGTAGATAGATAAAACCTTTATTGGCATAAGTAAAAAATTGGACATAGTCACAGTGGTTTGTTAGGTAACTACAAATATAGGCGTCGAGAGGGCAGGAAAGTGTTAGACATCGTTAAAAGAACAACAGTTCGTCTCCTAACCATAGTATCAAGGAAGTCTGCGACACTTTCTACAATGTCAGTCATCTCAGCCACCAGCATATAGCAAACTTTATCCAGATCTGACCTCCCTTCCAGCTTTAATAAAATTGAGGCTATCAACCTTGATCGAGTGAAGCGGGCAGTGCAAAAATATATGAACAAGGGTTTCCAGCACCCCCTGTTCACATGGGCAGTGCCTTTCTGAATAGGGAACTGCATTAAATCTGCCATATAATATAGCAGTAGGGCCTAGGGCCTACCTTTTGGGGGGGGGGCATTTGAGCAAAGATATTCTCTCCCACCAATTCTTTTACTCATTTTCCATCTCCAGTATTTCAGCAAGCCCAGGAAGATGCTACAGGATTCTTTCTTGGCTTGCTGAAATACTGGAGAGTAAAAGAATTGATGGGGGAGAATATCGGAATACTGACGGAGAAAGAGGATTTGTGGATCCTGAACCAAACCAAGTTACTGGATGAGAGTGTATGACCTAGTTATTTTTACATGGCTGAAATTATGAAATAGTTGAACTAAGACTGTCCAACAGAACTAGATCCAGGAAGTAATTATATTACCTCCATATAAGAACATTATCTACCATATGCTGCTTTTGGGGGAAACAAGGGCGTAGTTACACTCCTTTTGCAAAATAATACAATGATGGGTAATGGCATCACTTTCTTTGTGTAACAAACAACACATACATGTTACTAAGACACTACCTTGAGGGGTTCTGTTGGGGCCTTTTTTGTATTTTAAATGCATTTAAAAATTAAAAAGTAATTTGTAAGATTGAATCCACGTGACAGAGTGAGCGCCTGTCGTTTGTCCCAGCTCCTGCCAACCTAGCGGTTCAAAAGCATGCAAAATGCAAAAATCTGAGTAGATAAATAGGTACCACCTCAGTGGGAAAGTAAGCGGCGTTCCGTGTCTAGTCACACTGGCCACGTGACCACGGAGGATGGTCTGCGGACAAAACGCTAGTTCTATGGATTGGAAACGGAGATGAGCACCACCACCTAGAGTCGGACATGACTGGACAAATTGTCAAAGGGAACATTTATCTTTACTTTTTTAAAAAGCAAGAAGGTGTCCGGGGGAAAAAACCCAACTTAAGAGATGTCTGTCTAGAACTAATGTGTTACCCTACACAAAAGAAATGCACAAGTGGAAACAGATCACACTCTGCACATTCTGCACAGCCCTCTGGACTTTACAATGTTCCAAAGCACACACCAAGAGCTTAGGTAAACCTAAGAAAGTGCCCTATAGCCCTTTAAAGACTATGACACTTGTCAATGCAGTCCCAAATGTAAAGGCTATCTTTCCTTTTTTATCTTAGTGTCTTTGGCCTTCAATTAAAATCTACACAGAAAACTAAATAACACCCCCTCTCTCACACACCCACACAAAATCTGGCCTGCTCTTCCTTTAACACAGTACAGAGGCCATGAAAAGGAAATTTACAAATATAGAAAACACTGTGTATCACCATACAATTATTTCCTCTTTAAATTCACACTCATGTGTTTCCTTAAAACTTGTTTTCTGCTATTAACCTTTTTTCTTCTTCTCCATTATAATGTCCACTACATTCTACAGAAAATGTGTAGGAGGTTCACTATTTAAGCACTGCTCTAAAACATTCTCAATTCCCAGGCACACCTTGTCATGAGGGATATTTGTATATGATGCGAAAACATCTAATATAATCAGAACCGCCTGAACAAGATCGCTATAAAGGAATATCAGGAGCTCGAGACTTGCCACACAAACTACCTTTGGAAATATTTGGAAAATAATAATGTAAAAATGGGTTTATGAATTATATAAACTATGGAAACCTGAGACGTAACTACCAGTGCCTTTGGAAATATTTGGAAAAACAATCTAGCGAACAATATATGCAGGAACTATATAAACTGTGGAAAATTGTATTGTGGCTGCTTACAATTCTTTATGATTATATTACAGTAATTAGTGTTAATGACTGTAAAGGAACTGAGTTTTGAGAGCTCTTATCATAGAACGCTATGTGTTTTGTTAAGTAAAATCAAAGTATAAATATATATCCATTTGCAGTGTGAGTAGTGGGGAAACTTTTGTCCTTTCGCAGCAGGTATTTCTCCAACACCATTCATAATGCTAACTCCTGCATACCAAACTACTGTGCAGGAACCAAAAAATGTCAGTTCAAAAGTTAACAACCTGACATAGGCCCTAGCATGTCTGAATTCTGCCATAAAATCATGTTGAGCCATTAGCACACACTCAACAGAAGGCCTTACTATTGGGGGCTTTCTTGTTAGGAGTGGGAGTTAAAAAGGAGAAGGAGCAACAACAGGGATGTATAAAAGTATGGCTGATATGGACATGAACAGACAAAAACAGTTCTTCTTTTATACTGCTAAAACCTGTGGTCACTCATCTGGCAGTAGATTCAAAACTGGCAAAAAGAACAAGGTTACACTATATTGAACAAATCTATGGGCTCTGTGGCCATAAAGTGTGGTGACAATAAGTACTATAGCTTAAATCACTTTAAAAGATGGAATTAGAGACATAACTGGAGCATAAGATTACAAGCCATGATTATCATAAATCAGGGTATGCAACTCCAGAATGTCATTTTTGTGGTCCCCAAATGCCTCTGCATTTAAAGAAAATAAATACTGTAAATCTACAATCCTGCGGGGCAGACAACCCCTATAAATGACACCATAAATGAACTCCTAGCAAAATTCAGTTTTGTGTTTCCTTAATTTAAGCTGATATTCTGGGCCTCTGGTGAGTCTTGAAGTCCAAGGACTCTCTAAAGTTGCTGGCTGCTGCTCCACAAGCTACACCGAGATTCAAAAGAAGGGTTTTTCCTAATGCCCATCACTGGGGAAACAACCACAGAACCAGTATACTCCAAGCAGCAGACTCTTTTTAAAGCCCACAGGATGGTGACATGACAGCATCACACAAAGAGGAACCAAAGAGGAAACGGAGTTAGCCCTGCTTTGAAAGTAAAAGGAGGCACGGGGAAGCAAGAGAGCACCTGAAGCTCTGGAACACCAAGCTCACCCCAGTGACATCAGTTAAAAAAATATCCCAAGTACAGAACTGACCCAGGCAGCAGTCTGTATTAATCACCAAGAAGACTGTCACCACACAGGACTGAACTAATATGGCTAATCCCGAGACGTTTAACTACAAAGGCTTCTCTCTCTCATTGAGCATATACTGTACTAGCCACTAGTCCTGGGTGTCCCTGCACAAACGCACCCATTTCTAGGTTGGATGAAGTGTCCCCGACCATTTGCAATGTCCGTGAAGCATGTGCAGAGCCAACCACTAACGCATGAAGGCAGCTAAATTATGTATGTATAAGGGAGGAGACCGGAGAGCTTCCAAGATGCTTCGGCACCCGCCAGATCGCCTTTAAAAGGAAAAAGGAAGCACTGCACCAATGGGCGAGGGGCCTCCAGACCCCTCCCCAGAGTTACGCAATACAGCCGTCGCGAGGCCCTCCTCGGCTGTCTCCCAAAGGCAGCCCCCATTCCTTCTTTCCCCCCC